CTATACCAGGAATCCTTAGGGCGTGGAGGTGCCTGTCTCTAAGGTAGTAACTTTTAAATTTTTAATATAATTTACTTCCTTCAGTATCAAATAGGAACTGTGCATGTGTGTGTTGGGGATGAGGGCAGCTACCTACCGCAGCATTCTGGAACTCACTGCCTATGTCTAATAGCCTAAATGAATAGGAGGTGGAGGCATCACCTCTAGTTGGTGACTGGCTTTTTGTGGGTCAGCCCATAGCAGCAGGTCAAAGTCTCTGTTCCAAATTGAGATTAAACCCACCTCCAAAGTCAATGGCTCTGATGTAAGCAAAGTCGTTGATGATAGTTGAGCTCTTTCACAAAGTTTTGATGCACGTCTTAGAAGTCATCTTAGATAAGAATGATTTTGTAAAATAGCTGGCATTGCATCACAAATGTCTGGATGTGTTACCTTTTCCAAAAGCTCACTTTTCACTTTCTAGTAATAATATTTAGTATATATTTGGATAGCAGTCCTGTTGGCTGAAGCCCAACCTTGAACCTGTTATAAAGTTTAATACTTTATAGCACCATCAAGTTCCTGATTCAACTTTTGGGATTATTTTAAGCCTTACCCAAGAGAGATGAGTTTGGAAGGGATGAAATACCCTTAGACTGAGGAGAAGGAAATAGAAGAGCCATTTTATCCTGCTTCTTTGGGAGAAAACCAACCAGCCGATCCTGAAGAGATTGAAAAGGTTTTTGTTTTTTTGAGGAAGATTGGCCCTGCGCTAACATCTGTTGTCAGTCTTCCTCTTTTGTCTCCCCAAAGCCCCAGTACCTAGTTGTGTATCATAGTTTTAGAGTTGTAGCTTTTCTATATGGGACGCCACCTCCGCATGGCTTGTTGAACGGTGAGTAGGTCCGTGCCCAGGATCCGAACTGGCGAACCCTAGGCCGCCAAAGCGAAACATGCAAACTTAACCGCTGCACCACCGGGCCAGCCCCTGAAAAGTTGTTTTTAACTAAAATTGACCTATACTTAACAAATTATGTATAAGCTAACAGGTTACATAGCTAGGCCACCGACACAAAAAGGTTCAGAAAGCTCTGTATCCAAGAAGACTTTCACCTAAAGACCTCTAAATGGACCAGAGTCTTGATTCCATTCTTGATTTGGGTCATCTTTTTACCCAAAACATAGTGCAGGAGGCACCCCTAGGAGAAAAAGTGAGAGAAGTGACTTCCAGGCATTCTTGCTGGATGGCTGACTTGTTATTTCCCTTGGTATGAGGGATGGAATTGTTTCACGGAGATTAGATGGCTTCTCTAAGGCAAAGTTTAAATAAAGGCCTGGGCAGGGTATGATGTGCGAATTCAAATATCCTGGCTTGGTTTGTCCGGCTTTGGACAGACCTGGGTTGTGATCCAGGCTCTGCACTTCCTAGCAGCGAGACCTCAGCTGCTCCAAGCTGTAATTCCTCCTCTGTAACACTAGGAACGTGACAGCACACACCCAGGATTAATGCGAAATGCAAGTAAGGTCATGTAGGTGAATTATTTAGCATACCCCCTGGCCCATTGGAGACAATTACTATTATGTTCTTTTATATGTGAAAAAGTTGTTTAAAAGAATCATGCCCATCTAGGGCTCAGTCTGGGTCTTCAGGAGTTTTTACTCTGAAGTGGATTCTTGCTGGTGTGCTCCAGTGGTGGAGACCTAGTCTGGCTGTGTGCCATGCTGCCTGCTGCTCCCGGGCGATTGTGGTAGCAAGTCCCAGGAGCATTGATTCTTGAGGCTTTCTGGCTCCCTTTGGCCACCTTCACCCCAAAACGATTTTTGAGCTCATTCCGTGATGATTGATATTATACAGGTATAATAGGACATTTTTTGGATTACTGTGACCCAAATGTGCGTGAAAACATTAAGGCTTAAGTTTATTTAATATGATATCTGCTAATGCCCCGAAGTAATTACTTCTAGAGGAACCAGATTTTCAGTCTGCACAAGGGCTGTCATGTGAACCCCTGCTCTCGAGGAGCACAAAGTTCTGGTCCTAATGTTATCAGAGCTGTTTGGTGTAGGGCTAAGAACCCCACACGCTGCTCACATATGCAACTCGGGGCTCGTAGAGAGCTATTGATTACATACAAGAATGGATTATATGGTTTTCTGCTTTCTCCTCAGTGAAAATTAGATGGCTACTCCAAAGACTGGATCAAAATCATTACTGTTATTTTATGCTTTAAAGACTATAACTCAAAAAGTAGTGATTTTTAAAATTTAAAATCCAAAGATGAAAATACCAGATAAATCTACCATAAAATATACATAATTTTTCAGCAAATTCTATACTTAGGAGAATGTGTATTTCTGAAAAGATTGTTGCAACACCCCTTCTCACTCACCTGCACTTACAGTTTTTTAAAATACATACTTTTGGTGTAGAGTTTAAGGAAACTGTTCTGCATTTATTACAGTTTCACACGTTTTATGAGCATCTCTTTGACGATAGTGGTAATTTTTTTACATTCAGATGGTTGGAAAGAATGTGTAGGATTTCCAGAAAGTTCTCTATCTGCTGAGTTTTGCAAATGTTAACTGAATTGTACTCTTAATGCCTTTTGTCTCAGAGTTATTAAAGTAAAAAATTGGTGTTGGAGGTGAGAAAAATCAAGGAGCAATAAATGCTAATAAATTGGCCTTTCTACTCGATGGAAAGTCTACTGTATCTAATATTGCAACTCTTCAGATAAATTATGTGGAAAAACTATGGCATTTTCAGTAATAAATCTTCTTATGTTAAAGAGTTTCTTTTTTCTTTTCTAATTTAACTTCATTTAAATCAAAACATGTATCCAGAATATCTTAAGTTCTTCCCGAGTGTGGCTAAGCAGTTTTGTATATGTATGAGTGTGTGTTTAGTGGATCGACTGGACAGTTTGAAAAGCATGACTGGCTCTCCGCAGGTGGAAGAGAGAAGGCTGATGTGAGTGCAGAGCCCACGCTCAGAGGCCAGAGAGCGTACTCCTTGCTGCCCCTGGCGTGAGACCCTTACCAAGTAGGGGGATTCTATCTGACCGTCTGCATCCAGCAGGACTGAGAGAGCTTTTATTCGTCTTGCTTCATAAATGTACCAAACAAGATTGCCCCGAGACCAGTCTGAGCGCTCGCGATGCACTTTTAGTGTTTTCTGTCTGATTGGAGGAGATGGGCTCATGTGGCTTTTATGATCCAGGTACTATAGTTGATTCAGTGTGTTTACTTCATTTGGACAGACCTTTCTGATAGAATGCCCATGCTGAAACGTACTGAGATGGCAGTCATGGTTTTGAATGTGCCTTCAAAGGGCTGGACAGGTTTTAGAAAATATGAAATCTTTTAAGTTAGGTATAAGCAGATTAGTAATAAAATCCATTCTTCATTTATGAGACCTGTTGGCATGCTTCCCATGAGCTGCGCATTGTGTGAAGCACTGGGACGGCGGGGTGGGTCGGGCTTTGTCTCTCTGGGCACTTACAGTGGGGGGGACACAAGATAAATAAGATGCTGCGGTGGTGGTTCGTGTGAGTGGTGCAGTGGAAAGGCAGGGGCAGTGACTCTGTCTCAGGGGACCGTGAGGAAGCCTTCTATGAACGGGTTAAGCACTTGACCTTTGGCTTTAAGTTATGAAGCCTCAGAAATCCCCTTCCTCCCCACCAGGGCCATGCTTGTCATGTATATGACCCGTTAGTAACTACGGGTCAGCGCATGACCACCCTATGTTTATAAGAGACATGAGGCTTTTATTAATTCCCTTCTGGCTCAACAGCTGGCACTGAAATGACAGCATACAAAGGTGAGTGTCTATATCTTGTCATTTCTGCACCCCCAACCAGAGCTCCAGACGTCTGAAGTCCTACAGTGTGTCCTGGCAGCCCTGGCCTCTGGGGCTCCCTGTGGCCTCCTGCACCTTGCTCCCTTCTGCTTCTCCAGCCGGAGCACCTCTGCTCCAGGTTCCCATAGCGCCAGCCTGAGTTCTGGCCTCCCTCCTAATCCAACGGGCCCTTTGCAGTCTCAGCTCCAGGAGCCTGGTGGCGGGCATGGGGATCTTCTGGCTCTCTCACACCAACTGTGTAGCTAGCTGCCCACTGCTTGGCGCCCGTTGCAATGGCACCTTGGAAACAGCCAAGTACCGGCTTGATTGCCAGCCTCCTTCCTCTTCTGACCTAAAGAGTACCCTTACATGAGGGGGCAGAGCCGACTCCCGTGTTCCCACAGGTGGTGGAAAACCAGCAGCTCTTTGGCGCGCTCAAGACCTTGCTGGAGGACTTGCGCTTGGAGCTGCAGGAGGACGAGCATGCCCGGCTGCGGCTGCAGCAGCAATACGCCAGCGACAAGGCTGCCTGGGACGTGGAGTGGGCCATGCTCAAGTGCCGCCTAGAGCAGGTACCTGCCCGCCCAGTCCCTCCGTGCTGCCTGCGGGGTCTCTGTGGTCCAGGACAGGTGGGGAGGAGGCACACTTACTCAGATCCACAGTGGCCCTCATCCAAGAGCAAGGGCTCCGAGGAGAGAGCAGGAGTGGCTGCCTGCTGTGTCTTCCTAAAGTTCCCAACCTTCCCCAGACACTTTCTTTTCCCTCATATTCCCTCTCCCAAGTGTGAAGCACGGTCCCTGCCAAGCAGCATTTTCAAGTAGCGTGTATTTCCCATTCTGCGTGGAACAAGGTTGTGTTTAGCCCCGTCGAAGCACGGCTGCAGGAAGTGGTGATCAGAGTGTGCTGACACAATGCAAACAGGAGCAGAGAAAAAGCAAACTGGTTTAGTTATCTCTGAAAGAGGTAAACGCATGCTTTCCTTTAGATTTCTCAAAATACTGGAAAGAAATTGTAGACCTTTCACTACATGCCCAAGAAGTCCGATCGGTTTTGGTGTCCTTTTTACACCGAAGGAAAGCGAGGCCCAGAAGGAGGGGCTGATCTCAGGTCACAGTCGTTAGTGCTCCAGTGGAGAGGACAGTGGGCTCTTGCCTCCCCCCTCCCAACAGAGCAGACCCTCCTCAGAGGTTGTAGACTGTGACCATGGTTGTTAAGTTCAGACAACCAGAAGCGTTCTTTTCTGAGTGTTTACTCCCTGGAAAGCCTTAAAAGCAATGTCACTTCCTACACCATGTCTGCTTGCTTAGGTCGTTTCTCTAGGTTTCTTCCAGCCCCTTGATCCTGATGAGGGAGGAGAGGTCTGTGCATCTTTGATAATCTATTTTTTAGGCCCTATTTTGAGGCTAACCATAAAGCAATTAAAATTTTGTATGAATCGGCTCAGTCATGAACCAAAAAAACTGCCCAGAAAGGAGACATCTTCCAAATGGCCTTGATAAAAGATGAAAGGGCCTGTCATGTCAAAAGAAAACAGCTCCCCTGGTGGCCACAAGTTCACTTGCATTGCAGCCTGGCCCAAGGGAACAGTGGTGTCAGGCTCACAGCTCTGGATAGAGCTGAGAGACAGCCTTCTCTGCAGAGGAAGAAGCAAAGCATAGCAAAACCAAAGTCCAAGCCAGGCCTGTCAAATGACGGAGCCACTAACCCAGTTATGAATCCTGCCTACTGCCTGGTAGGAGATTCCTACCAGATGCTCTGTTTATCTTTGTGCGCAACCTGAAGAGTCAGCTGAGGAGGAGAAATGAGTAAGGACACTCTGATGATCTGCCTTTAAACCTACTTAAAAATATGTTTATGGAGGAGAAAGCTAAATATTTTCAAAGATGTAAGTATAGCCAAAGAAAGGAGGCATAATCTTTGATGCGAGCCAGTTTCAAAACGTTTTGTCTTTGTTTTAGAGGAACCTGGTATCCACCCACACATTTGCTACAAATAAAGCCTCAGGGAGAGTCACTAAGCGCTGAGAAATAAAGCTAGGACTTCAGGCCTAGAAGCCGAGTGGTAGTAGGCAAAGATTCATCTTTTGCCCTAATTGTTTAGAAAGTTTCTTAAACATTTGCAGCCCAGGAAGCAAGGAATATGGGTTGATGCTAGTTCATTTATAATAGTCCCATCTTTACCCTCTTCTACTTAAATGCAAAACAGTTGAATTCTATCAAAAGTTAAGTATTTTCTCTCAGTGGAGGCCATGTTGTATCAGTTCAAAATCTATGATTCCTTTAATTGCCTTCTAAGTCAGACCTTGCTCTAAATGCCAAGGATCCAGCAACAAATAAGATATTTCTTGAAGGGGCCCTCAGTGTGGTGGGAGACCCAGACAAGGGTTATAATTTCTAATTGTGTGTTAAGTGCCCTGCCAGGCCTGTACACAGTGCCGTCGGGAATGGGGGTGTGCAGAACACACACCTTGGCTTCAGGGCTCAGGGAAGGTTGTTTGTGAAAGTGCTACTTAGAATGAATCTCAGAGCATGACTAGGAGTGGGAACATGGAGAAGGAGAGAAGGGTGTTTCAGACAGCAAGGAATGTCAAGAAGAAAGGAGCAGGGCACATCTGAGGAGCTGCACCTAGTCAGGGATGAGGAAAAAGAAGAATGTTAAAGAATTGAAATGTTAATCCTGATTTTATCATGGAAGTAAAGCATTTTGATTTGCATTTTAAAAAGGTTCTTTTGGATTCCAGGTAGAGAACGGATTAGAAACCATTAGAATTCAACAGATGAACATAGGTCCATGGGTAGAATTCAGGGACCTGCTGAACTAGAATAGGAAAAAGATACATCTTTGTGTTCACTAACCTTTCATTAAAATTTATCACGTTCTCCATCTACAGTATACTCCTGATTCTGTCCTCTATGCTATTGTTATCACAGTTTACTTCTACATGTTCTGTAAACACACCATCATTGCAACTATTTTTTGCTTTAGATGCTCAGTGATATTTTAAAGCAATCAGGAATAGAGAAAAGTGAGTTTAGTTATATCTATATCTATTTATGCCATTTCCAGTGTTTTCATTTTTGGTGTAGATCAGAGTGTCTGTTGGTATAATATTCCTTCGGCCTAAGAACTTCCTGTGTTATTTCTTGAAATGTAGGTCTGCTGGCAATGGTTTTATTCAATTTTCATTTGTTGAAAATTTTCTTTCATTTTTGAAAGTTATTGTTGCTGAGTATAGCATTCTATTGAGGTTGACATTTTTTCCCTTCAGCCGTTTAAAGATGTCACTCCATTGTCTGCAGATTCGCCTGGTTTCTGAGGAGAAGTCTGCTGTCACTGTCATCTGTGTGCCTCTGTGCATAATGTATCTTTTTACTCTGTCTGCCTCAGAGATTTTCTCTTATGTTTTCAGCAGTTTGAATATATGTCTAGATGGGGGTTTTTTGCTTGTTTGTTTGTTTTTGGTATTTAACCTCCTGAGTGTTTGACAAACATTGATTGTAGACATCTAGGTTCCATCACTACCCCATCACTAGACATCTAGGTTCCATCACTGCCCTGTCACTAGGTTCCATACTCAGGATATAGGGACAGATGTGCCAGCCCTGAAGGAACTCCACAGAAGGATGGCAAGAGGTGGCAGTAACTCAGAGTAATGAAGTGGAGCTGAGAAGCAGGCTATGGGCAGCTTAACTTTCTGTGTGACTCTCTGTGTCAAATGTGCATCATTAGGACTTTAATAATGAAAATTGTTTTTTCCATGGGATTGGTCAAACCTTGGTTTATACATGTTTCCAGGGATAATGTGTAAGTGTGCTGAGATTTTCTTCACCTACTAATGAAGACTTGTCAGGGACTGAGTTCTAAGTCTTTTTTCTTGACAGCTGGAAGAGAAGACTGAGAAAAACCTGGGAGAACCAGGCATCTCCGCTGACAGCAAAGGGGCATTCAAGAAGGAGAGGGAGACACACCAGAAGCTGCTTGCTGACAGCCACAGCCTGGTCATGGACCTGCGCTGGCAGATCCACCACAGCGAGAAGAACTGGAATCGGGAGAAGGTAGAACTTCTCGACTGCCTGGACAGAGAGCGGCAGGAGTGGGAGCGGCAGAAGAAGGAGCTCTTGTGGAGACTAGAGCAGGTGAGGAGCCCCCGCCCCAGGGGCAGGACAGTGACCTGGAGTCAGAGAGAAGAGAGCAGGTGAGGAGCCCAGGCCCGGGGGCAGGACAGTGACCTGGAGTCAGAGAGAAGAGAGCAGGTGAGGAGCCCCCGCCCCGGGGACAGGACAGTGACCTGACTTACAGGAAACAGGCTGCACGGGAGGTCCTTGCTGCATCAGGATGTCTTAAGGGCTTCAGAGGAAGAGGAGGAAATACTGGGATTTCTAGTATTGGAGACCTAGGCTCAGCCCTCCTATTACACAAATCTTTCCATTGCAAAGTTTGTAGGTGACTTCACTGTGTGTGTCTGCATGTGGTGTGTGTATGGTCAGGGGTGGGGGTGGGGGGTAACTTTTTAAAGGAATTTAAAGACTAAACTTGAAAGATTAAGTTATTTCATGTCTTATAAAGTGATTTCTGCCAAAAATCAAACTAACTTTTAAGTTTGGCACTAAAGATGTTGTCACAGTGACTGCTTCAGCTTGAATGGAATTGTTGTCCAGGAGTAAAAAAAGTGCTGAATTAAGTTGGAAGTCAGGCTGTTTGCACCTGCTGTGGATATTGCTGAGCTGTAATTAGATAAGACCCTACCAGGGGAGGTAGCTGGGAGCTCAGTGTCTTCAGCTAAACAAACAATTCAAGAACTCAGATGAATTCACGGGGTGAGGGGGAGTTGTTTTTCTACTGCCCAGATAATCATTCTCTACGTTACGTCAGACTTAGGACAGTCTGCACTGTTGGGGTCGTGCCAGAGGGAAAATTAAATTTTCACATTAAATTGATGAAGGTTTGGAATTCCTCCCTGGCCGGATTTTTATATAGCATACATTTTATTTCTTTCAGCCTGTCACACTTAAAAATTCATGAGGCCTCAAGGAAATGTGTTAATCAATAAGAAACTGAGTTCAGGAAAACATAACCTCATTGCTCTATTATAAATACCCGTACTGCCTACATTTATGTGGGAGCCTTTTGAAAAATGTGCTCTGTTATCCCCAGCCGTGGTACTTGTGTTACGGAGGTGCGGTGCATAGGTTAGTTCCTGCATGCTGTTGGGAAGTAAGCTTAGAAGGGAGCCTTTGGCTGAGAAGCTGTTGAGGAGAAGAGTGCGCACTACGGATGGAAAGGAGCTGAAGTTTCTTCCTAGATTTGATTAGTCACACACTGAGTCGCCGTGTTGGTATTTGATGTGGCTCATTTCACAATTCCCCAAATTCTATCAAAGGAAAGTTGGCTACTTCGTTTTCGGTCTAGAAATGCAGCCCTTGAAAAGAATCTTCTGTGTTAAGTCCCCTGTGGCTCCGTGCACTGTCAAATGGATCAGCTCTTAGGTGGCACTTGTTGGGACAGAAGTAATGTGTATTCCTACAGAATGCTCACAGGTTTATCATGTCCGAGTTGAGTTAACCACAGTAACTCCAGACCCCTGGTCACCAGGGAGGTTCCCTCTTGGCATTCCCTCCAGGATCATTCACTTTGTCTGTCCCTCCCATACCCCAGCAAGGCCATCATAACCCTGCTGTGGCCCTGCTAGGGTCCCCTCTGTCAGCTGTGGGCTTATTGGTCTTGTCATGGCTTCATTTTGGAGGTCACACCTTGGACATGAGTTAAGCAAGTCTTTTAGGGTTTTATTTTGCTTTTGGGAATGAAGAATTTCTAGTAAAGGAAAAATAGCAAGACATCTGATGATACTCAACTTTCAAAGAGTTAATGACCTAGGGATGAACAGTCACCTCATTTTAAGGCTATATTTTGGAAAGATAAGAGTGGGCAGGAGCTGAACCCCATTTCCAAATAGTCAGTCCTGTAACCGTTCACCAGCTGACAGCCCTAGAACTTAAGCCTCAGGGGTAACATCTCTGAGCATAATGGATTCGAGACACATGGGTTCCAGGTATTCATCTGTTCCTGAAATCTGTGTGGTAGATCTCACAGGCTTTGTACAATGATTTCACTGCTGTTTTTAGAAGAGGATTCGTTGCCAGTGAATGATGCTTCAGCTATGCAATTGTGGCTTTCAAAAATAAACCTGGCCTTCTCCCTCAAATATTGGACATTTTAAAAGAAGATTTTATAAATTTTGGTGCCCAATTCTGAAAATTAGGTAAAGCAGTTATAGGCATTCTCTGTAAAAGAGGAAATTGGCTGAAGTGTGTGTGTGTGTAGATAGTATTTGTTTCTCAGTTATCAGGTTGCTTGTTTGCTGAACTTCCAGCCACACATTCCATAAACAAACAAGAAACAACACAAGTGAACCTTCTTCACAATGTATGCTCTAGATATTTGACTGTTTGTTGAGCCGTATAACCTTGACTATGATAACCTCATACAGATGGTGAAAGACGTAACACTAAATCCATTTTCCACTTTCAGAAGACGTGCTTCATACTTGTCGGTGTCGTTAAATTCCTACATAATTTTTATGCCACATGAGGCATTTTAACTGATGAATGACTGAGAGTGTGGTCAAGGTCAGATAACACATATCATCTATCTTATCAGCATCTCTTGTCTCAATCCAGACTTGATGGGGTGGTAAACATTTATGGAGTCACAGTCCATTTCTCCTTAGAACTCTTCAGCTTCCAGTTAACATGCAGAAGATGTCGGACTTGCGGCCCTGCAGGAGAGCTTGCCTGTCATGCCATTCTCCTTCCAGTGACTTCCTTAAATCAGTTGCCTTTACAACATGAAAAGCCATTCTTTTAAAACCTGTTCGCGAAGTGACCTTTTTTCTTTTCACCAATCCAGGTAAAGTGACACTCTTGAGGGTTTATTGTTTCCTGTATTATTTGAAATGCAAATCTTTTAAATTTTCTATTTGCATTAAAAGTTGTTCTACTGCAAGATTCTAAGTACAGTGGGTGCTGGTGCTGGGTTTGAAATGACTGTCCTAGGAAACCCTATCCTTTTAAGGCCCCATTATTCTGTTACGACACTGCAGAGGCATCTTAGCAGCAGACACCTCCAGCTAAAACCATTCCAGCTCAGTTTTAGGAAACCTAACACTTACCAGCTTTAGCTCACGTTGCTTCTGGCTGCCTGGGTTTATTTTTGAAATCCCTCTTTACTGAGTTAGAAGGTGCTTGTTCACAGCTCCCTCTTAGTCACTCCTTCCCCCTCTTCATGCACACCCTCAGTGCGCATTTACAGCTTCAGATGTGGTTCTTGCATTTTAATTCCTCACCCAAAATAGCTTGAAGATGATCATGTGTTGAAACTAAATTGCACTGACATGCATTAGATGAACCTAATAAAAAGCTTTCCTTTTTATTTTTTTAAAGAAAGCATTGAGCATCGTTTAGAGCACTGGGAAGAACCGTGTCATTGGGGAGGGGGCGTGGAGAGCAGAGGAGGCTGAGCTTCTTCCCTAAGTCGTGTGTGATCCTGCCTCAGACTGGAACATTTAAGATCTGGCTACTTGAATCTCCATCTCTCTTACAAAATGAAGATCATAGTCTGAGACTTTTGTTCCACCACCTCAGAAGTTAGTAAAAATGAGTAAAAGTCCTTTGTCTCCATTATTTCACGTGGCTTTGTTCTTGATGATACACAGGCCACACATATCCAACTTGTAGATGAAGGCTTAAATTAGGACACAAGGGTATCATTTGTGAAAGATGCTTTGTTAAAGAATAAATTAATATGCTTCCAAGAGAGTTTCGGAACTTGCTGGCACTGTCTCAGCACTTGAGGACTGAAAATCTTTCTTCTGCCTTCCCTTCAGGTCAAATCCGATGTCATTTTAGTCATTCAGATAATTTATTTATTCAGAAGATCAGCCAACGGAGTAGAGTGTGTGAGCATGTCATCCAATAAGGACCCCGTTGAAGGTTCATAGGTGGAAATATCCTCAGCTCTCAACTGTGCTTTCTGTGCATGTTTTGAGGGAAAGCAGTGTATTAGGGCTGCTCTGAGGAGCAAGAACGTCTGCCCTGCACGCCATTTCCGGCCTGTTCCTGTGGGTTCACGTTGGCTCCCTTCCCGAAGGGCCTCTGCTTGGTCTAGCTCTAGTGCTGTAAGTAGGCAAGGCACTTACCTGTGGGCTCAAGCCTGAGGGAAAAACAGTGACCTCTACAGTGGGCCGGCCCCTGCTGGGCTGACCTTGCCTGCAGCCCTGGTCCTCCCCTCAACCTGGGAGGGAGGGAGTGTGCTATCCCCATTTTACAGGTGAGCAAACTGAGCTGAGAAGAGTTGGGAACCTTACACCTGTGAGCAAACCAGCAAGCCATGAAACAGTGGCTGTGACTCAGGTCTTCCTCACTCCACGTGGTCCTGTGTTTCCCCCACTACTGCGTCTTGAGTTTACCACGACAGGGGAAAGAAGGGACTCTGAAGGATGTGGCTTATGTTTGTTTGTTTTTTTCCAGTCATGCCAGGTCTTTAATTACCTTTATGGCTGAGTTTTAATCCTCTCAAGCAAAGTATAAGTTGTTTTTGACACCCACTGGTTATAACCCAGTTTGATCACTCGGATTATGTGTAGGACCCGTTCCAAATAATTTATAAATAATACTCTGTTACTGTTAGGAAACTGTGCTAGTTAGGAAAATCAAAGTCACCCTCAGAAGTTTGCTGTCATGGATGGTTTTCCATTGAGTGTGCCTTAAGTTCTGAAGGTAATTACAAAAGAGAGCTCTAAATATGTCATTTAACAATGTGAGATTTTTAAAGAATAAATGTACTTTGAGCATGGTACTCAAAGTTATATGCAATAACATATATATTCTCGTCAGAAGGAGTTGGCTTGGGTGTGGTTTATGCAGATTTTCCAGTCCAGATAAAATTGTGATTTTTCTTTTTAAAAGCATTTGTAATGTTGTGTTACATTTTGAAATTGGGTTAGGCTTTTCTAAGAACATTTACTTCTTACAGTCTTTCAGATGGACCCATATGTAATTCTAAATTGTGGAGAAACCATGGTCTCAGGGAGAACAACATACAGAAAAGTGAGGCTAATTGTTTTCATTTTTAAAACCCTCAAGTTGCAGAAAGAAAACAGTCCCCGGAGAGGTGGCATTTTCCTCTGTGATCAGAAAGAAGGCAACATCCGCCCCTGTGCCCACCCCGGGAGCCCCCACGTGCCCCGTACCCTGGGGATGTGGCCCTGTGCGGACACCGACTCCACCCCATTCGAAGACCGGCCACTATCCAAGCTGAAGGAGTCGGACAGGTGCTCGGCCCGGGAGAACCTCTACTTAGACGCCCTGTCCCTGGACGACGAGCCCGAGGAGCCTCCAGCCCATGGGCCCCAGAGGGAGTTCAGGAACTGCCTGCCCGAGGTCGGCCTGGGGTTTTGGGTCCAGGGGTTGCTGGGAAACTGGCCATGTGGCTAGCAGGCTCCAGGGCTTCACATAGCGCAGCCTGTGGGTTGAGTAAAAGTGAAACCTTCATAATCCAAGGGCTGTGCATGGTGGTCCTAACCCCAGGTTCCTAGCGTGTGCTGTGGTCCTGTTCACTTTACCACCTTGTCTTGGGTTTGGAAATACTGGGCTCATGTCCTGTGTAAAAGGAGCCGTCTCACAAGTGAGTATGCCCAACAAAACTCGGGAGGAAGTAGATCACTCTGGGAAGTGTGGATCTTCAACTTTCCTTAAAATCATAGCACAGTCTTCTGATTCTAGAAAACTTATTAATAACCAAAAAGATTCTGTTTTAAAGAAAGTACCTCACAGTTAGAAATAGCAAATGTTACTAATCAATGACATACTATAAATATCTTATTCTGTGCAAAGGGAAAAAAATCCTACACTGAGAAACCTTATGTAAATTAGGTCAGCAAATAGGTGAGCTGCATGTACACTGAAAATTTCCACCTCGAGGCAGGAGGTTTTCTCTCCTTGTTAAGGCCAGGTTTTAAAAATTGATTTTAGGGATCATTACTTGTGAGTCATTTTAACAATTATACCTATCATTTATTTTTTTTTACTGACATATAATTGACATATAACATTATATTAGTTTCAGATGTACAACATAATGATTCAACATACGTATATATTGTGAAGTGATCACCACGGTACATCTAGTTAACATCCGTCACCAAACATGGTGACAATTTTTTTATCTTATGATGAGAACTTGTAAGATCTTTCTTAGCCACTTTCAAGAGGGTGGAGGTGGGTGAAATGAGTGAAGGTTATACCTGTCATTTAACCCATCCCTAACACTAAATAGACTCAGAAGAGTTCATGTCAAATAGTGTTGAAATGTGGGGAAGTTACGCTTCGGTCACATGTCTGTGAAGTCGAGTGCCTTCTTCTCAGCAGTAGGTACCCGGATGACATGACAGTGCCAGTATGCCTCCCTGTTTGATCTATTGGCATTTCTCATGGTCCAATTTCACAGCAGAGAGAAAGCAGACCAGGGTTGGGAGACTGTCTGGTTCTGGCTCTGCATGCTGGGAGCCCTGGACCCCATGCTGATCTGCACGACAGAGACCAGGGCCATGCTTGCTAAAGGGAAGCACACCCAGCTGTTTACTGTGCTGGGGAATGAAATTCCATTACTGTCGAAGGCTTGCTAGGATCCTTGCTCCTTCTTCAGGACCATGTCAGCATGAGGGTGTTCTCTCCAGAGACAGCCTGTGTTCATGTGGTTCTCTGCCAGCACAGCTATCATTCTTCTTTCTAAAGGGAAGTCACTGTAATTTTACCTCTGATTCTAAATGGCAATGTTTAAAACCAAGAAAGCGCTCCAGCCTAAGGCTGTCACACCAACTTCCAAGTGAGGCTCGGACCAACGGACTTCAGTCTCCTAACCCTTACCCTCGTCTTCCCTTCTCCCCACCTCCCCTCTCTCTCTCATCCTCTTCTCTCTCTCTCTCTCTCTCTCTCTCTCTCTCTCTCTCTCTCTCTCACTCTCACTCTCCCTCTCACACACACACACACACACACGCACACACACACGCACACATTCAGCCGTATTCAGGTCATTTCAAAAGCTGGCTTTGAAATGCATGTAGTTATCGAAGTCTTTTGAGGAAGCACTTCCTCCATGACAAAGTTTACAGCTGGTGTCTCTCCTTCACGTGGGCTCCTCCCTGGACTGCAGAAGCTCCAACCCCTCATCACGCTGTGGATTCAGGTTTATTGTTACTTCAAAGGGCTGAGGGCAGCAGCACTCCCCGCCAGAACTTGGCCTCAGTGTATATTTGAAGTGGTGTTTTCCTAGAGCAGAAGAGCAAAACAAGTCACTCAGCCCTCTGAAGGCTCCTAGGCAACCAAAATTAACTGATTCAGACAAACTTATCTCTTCTTTATAGGAAGAAGAAAATCCCAAGGGAAATCTTCAAAGGTAAGATTGATGAAAACAGTAGTAGACTACTGAAGTAAAAACCCCTTGGTCCTGAGATTCCATCTTGTCTCTGTAGTCTGTTGTAACGCTATCTTCAGAATGACTTAAGATAAGACTTCTGAATAAGTGGTTGCTTTATTATTATTAATTTTATAAATATTGTATTTTTTATTAGTAGTAACAACTAAGAGACAAGCCACGTGTATTAGTGTTATGGTAAGAACTTTGCAGATATAGTTGTGTGTTGTGTATATAAAGGAATGATTGTGTTAAATGGGTTTTGAAAAGTCTATGGAAACCTCTGTCTTCTAATTTAAAGTCTGGAAAAAGTCCCTCTTGCTGTGCTATGAGACATTTTATATACTGTACATTGAAAAGCTCTACTAGGAGGGTTTATAAAATATTTCCCATCAGTAATCCTTGAAGTAAATATAAAGTAGTTGATGTTGTTGATGTTAGTAATCATGTATTTTAGGTCATATGTATGATGAGACATGTCTGAAAAGGCATGTATAAGCAAATTTGTTTAAATGGAAACATTAAGAACACACAGCTGAGGGCTGGCCCAGTGGCGTAGTGGTTAAGTTCGTGTGCTCCACTTTGGCGGCCCAGAGTTCGCAGGTTCGGATCCCGGGTGCAGACCTACACAGTGCTTGTCAGGCCATGCTGTGCTGGCGTCCCATATAAAGTAGAGGAAGATGGGCATGGATGTTAGCCCAGGGCCAATCTTCCTCAGCAAAAAGAGGAGGATTGGCATCAGATGTTAGCTCAGGGCTGATCTCCCTCATCAAAAAAAAAAAAAAACACACAGCTTCAGCTGAGCAGAAAGTGCGGCGGTTTCCTTTACCCATCCCTCGCCCTCCCCACACGCACACACGTACTTTTCTTTGTAGATGGTACACACCATTGCCCTGCATGCAGCAGCTTCTCAGGGCAATTTGGTCTTCATCCCTAACTTTCCTGTGAACTTGGAGTCCATGAAGTATGTCTCCTTCCCGTTCCGCCCTTTGTGGGATTCATCCAACGCCGGGAAGTGCCTGTGGCACATTTCTGTCGTTCGAGCTCTGTCTCGTCCGGTTGCTCTTGGACAGCACAGGGCAGCACTTGAGAGCTCGGCCCCAGAGCCAAACATCCTGGGTTCAGATCCACATCCACCTCTCACTAGCCATGCAACCTTGGGTGAGTTATCTGACTGCTTTGTGCCTCCCTTTCCTCATCTGGAAACAGGAGGTATTAGATTTGTTTGCAGCTTAAATGTGTTAATACACATAAGATGAAGCGATGTCCGGCGCAGAATAGCAGTGAACGAAGTTTACTATCATTACACCCTCCCGCTTTCTGCCTTTCTTAGCAGAGCTCCTCCCTGCACTGTAGCTAGTTATTATTTTTTATCTTAATTGCTTCTGTTAATTTCAAAAGTAATCCATGCTTGTAAAATTGAAACAGTATCAAAATGTGCAAAGTAAGAAGGTGCTGTCCTCCCCTCCACCCCCTTCCCTTCTAGTGCTTTCCTGTGTTCCCTTCGTACTTTCTCCTTGTTGCACATGTGTCTGGTTTTTGTAGGTATGGTTTTGTTTTGCTTTGGCCACTGTTAAGGTTAACGCCTCTCCTTTCTCTGTCCACATCATCTCTGTTCCACGATATCCATCCAAGACCTAGAGGCAAAAAGTCCCCACAGAGGTGCTGCTGCTGCTTTGACTCTGAGAGCAGTTTCTGTGGGCAGAAGCAGGGTTAGATGAGCTACATCCAAGAAACGGGAAGGGATTAGGGTTTGGCTACCTGTAGAGCACTTCCAGCTCCCGGTGAACAGTGTTCTGAAGCTCATTGTTAATTCAGCAGCTCCTTGATCAGAGGCAACAAGAGGAAAATCGTGCTTGCTGGAAAGTTTAGGACCTAGTGACAAATGGACCATCCTTATCCTTTCTATTTCCTTTTATTTCCATAGCCAGCTTTCTGTTATTCAGAGGGCCATTGGACAGTTTATAGGTTATTTATAACAAAAATACCACTGACTTGTGCCTCTAGTGAGAAATAACAAGATGAAATGCCCAGTGGTGTCATTTGTAGCCTGCTGTTTTACCCCATGGTAATGACCACCAGCACATGCCCCTAGGGTAAGGGCATTGTCAGCCAAGCCACCTAGAACTTTGCCCATTCTGTGGACCAGTCCTTGTGGTCCACAGACTTGCTCAGAGCAGGACCCAGTTCTGGCCTCGCCATTGTTAATGGGTCCTGCAGAGGAGTGGCCATGCACTCAGTCTGGGACCCCTTCAGCAGGGCCTGGGCTGGTCTAGAACCCTAGGTATTTAGAGTTTGGGGGTGCATGGTTATTAATATGTCCTATGATAAAGTGGTCTACTTATAGAGACAGTGAGTCTGCACACACTTCACCTCCACCACCACATCAGGAGAGATTCCAGACCAGAGGGTCCAGGACCTGAGTCGGCACGCATGGCCAGCCCCAAGCCTCCTTCCTGGCCACCACTTCTTTGCCCTGGCTGGGTTGACAAGCTGCCCAAGCCCTGCAGCAACTTCCTGTCTCAGCATGTTGGAGTCCCCAGCCCCTCATACCGTGCCACCTGGGCCTACAGGAGGCAGTCAGTAAATTCATGTCAAATCGAAATATATTGAGTTAAGTGCCAATACACTGAGCCATCTACATCCAAATCCACGTCCATCAGGCAGTAGCTCACCCCAAACTGGCTGTTGCTTTAGCTCTCCTGTCTTCACTCTCCCGTTGTGTTTGTGCATCTTGGCCAGGAGTATAGAAGGAGCAAGAACAAAAAGTAGCTCGGCTATCAAGGAGGAAGCAGAGAGGGAACTGAGGGCACTGAGCCCTGGTGGTGGGTTTGGCAGGGCCGGGTGGAGTTTCTGTTTGAAATGGTGTTTGGGAATTGTTTGCCAACCTGATTACATCTTCCCCTCCTCTCTCTCTTCTACGTCTTTTGTTTGGCCTTTGGACGTTGTTAGTACTTCAGGCCAGTGGAGGATGAGGCTGAGAGTAAGAAGGACTTCAGATGGTAGTTATATTGTTGGGGTATTTCACTCCTCCAGTACCAGTGGCTGGTTTTGGGTTGGGACTGTGGTGCGGTCATGTCTGTAGCCTGAGCACCTGCCATGATGCCTGGAACCCAGGAGTCTCCCAGTAGGTTTGGAATTGAAGGCACTTGTCAATAGATGGAGAGCCCAGGCCACAGCCAGGGTTCCTGTAGTTTCCCCTCTTCCTGCGGAGTGTCCACAGGCTAAAATGAACCATTTCAAAGTGGGTTTGGAGCTTGGCTCTGACTGCCCTGCCCACCTTCCGCTTGTTCCCACAGTATCTAAGGGTTGGCTGTATTGAGTTCTGACCAGTACAAGGCTCCTGGAACACTTCCAGAGCCATCGTAAAGATCCGTTAAACATCCACAGGGTCAGAGCTGGACAACATCAGGCAGCTGGACAGCGAGCGTGCTGGTCATTCAGGTGGAGCCCGTCGCGCAGCAGGCGCTGCTGGTGCAGGCAGGACTCGTGAGCTGCGCCGGGGTGGGGGCACGGGTCAGCGGGCTCCCTGGCTGGCACATGGGCCGCTGATGCCGTCCTCTCTCCACTCTTCCCAGGGCGGTGTCCGTGTCCTCCATGTCTGAGTTCCAGCGCCTGATGGACGTCTCTCCCTTCCTGCCCGAGAAAGGCCTGCCCGCCGGGAGCAGCAGGGAGGATGTCACTCCGCCCCTGTCTCCTGACGACCTGAAGTACATCGAGGAGTTCAACAGCAAGAGCTGGGACGAGAGGCCCCCAGACCCCTGGGCAGACAGGACCGAGGGGGGGCAGGTGGGGCACGAGGCCGGCACCGAGCCTTTCCCTGACTCCTCCTGGTACCTCACCACGAGCGTCACCATGACCACGGACACCATGACCAGCCCAGAGCACTGCCTGAAGCAGCCCCTGCGGAGCCACGTCCGGGCCGAGCCGCCCGGGGTGCGGGTGCTGCACAGCCCGCCTGCCGTCCGCAGGATGGATAGCATCGTCGTGGCGGGCGGTGAGGGCAGGGTCCGGCCGGAGCCCGAGTGCCCATTTTCCACAAGCAGAGCCAGAGGGGGCATGGGAGACACAAAGGGGGGCTCCTCAGAACACATGCTTGGCAGGTGGCCTGGGGCCCCCTCCAGACACCCCCGAGACTACGTGGAGGGAGGGCTCCGCCCCCTCGATGGCACCCTCTGCACCCCCTTGGGTTTTGCCTCCCCACTGCACAGCCTGGAGATGTCCAAGAACATGAGTGATGACATGAAGGAGGTGGCCTTCTCTGTCAGGAATGCCATGTGCTCTGGTCCCACCGAGCCTCCAGTCAAGGATATGGCCTGTCAGACCAATGGGTCCCGGACGACGGGGACACAGACCGTCCAGACCATCAGCGTGAGCCTGCAGACCGAAGCCCTGCGTGGCAGCGCCATCACCAGCAGCCCCCACAAGTGTCTCACACCAAAGGCAGGGGGTGGTGCCACGCCCGCATCATCTCCTTCCCGCGGCCTTAGGAGCAGGCAGGTGGCGCCTGCCATCGAGAAGGTACAGGCCAAGTTTGAACGCACGTGCTGCTCCCCCAAGTACGGGTCTCCCAAGCTGCAGAGGAAGCCCTTCCCCAAAGCTGACCAGCCAAATAATAGGACCTCCCCAGGGCTGGCCCAGAAGGGGTGCAGCGAGTCGGCCTGGGCCCGCTCCACCACCACAAGGGAAAGCCCCGTGCACACCGCCATCAACGACGGCCTCTCCAGCCTCTTCAACATCATCGACCACAGCCCCGTGGTGCAGGACCCCTTCCAGAAGGGGATGCGGGCTGGGAGTCGGTCTTGCTCTGCAGAACCCCGGCCAGAGCTGGGCCTAGGCCAGGAAACCAGCCCCAGTTCCCGGGGACAGTCACCCAGCCCCATCGGGGTTGGCTCGGAGACATGTAGGGAGGAAGGGGGAGAGGGCACACCTGTGAGGCAGGACTTATCTGCTCCCCCTGGCTACACACTCACTGAGAATGTAGCTCGGATCCTCAACAAGAAGCTGTTGGAGCATGCCTTAAAGGAGGAGAGGAGGCAGTCCCCCCACGGCCCCTCAAGTCTCAACAGTGACAGCCATGTGGGAGAAGCAGTCAAAGCCGAACCAGGGTCCATTGAGGTAATGCAGGCTGAGTATCCACACCCTCACCCTCCCAGTTCTTCCATTTAAATGTTGAGAGAACACGTTTGAACCTGGGATTGTATCAGGTCATTTGAGTTCAAGAATCCTGGTCCGTATAGGTTCTTGTGAGCTGGGGAGATACAGGGTTTATGGGAGAATGGAATAGGCAGAAACACAAACCCTGAGCTGCTGCTTAAAGAAAATTTCATTTTACTGTTCACAACAATTTTAAATTTGATTGAGGTTCTCTTCTCTGGTCTAAGTGATCGATGCTTATCTTTTTAGCTGGGCTTTTCACTTGGGGTTGTAATTTGCCCTCTTTCTGTATGAATTTGTGTTCTATGAATGTGTGTGTGTGTGTGTGTGTATGTATGTGAAGTATGGAGAGTCATGTCAGGGCTTTCTGCATGCTCCACATCTTTATACATGATGACACACAAGAGGTGTGCTGGAGAGGATTTTGACAGCGTGGACACTAGAACATCTCATCAGGAATTACAACACCTGGATTCCAGTATTGGCTTCAGTATGGAATAGTAGTCTTACCTCTCAAAATCACATACCTGCTCCGTGTCCATGAGTCTCCCTAGCAGTGAAACCAGCTGAGACAAATGGATGAGAGCAAAATCCTGCCTGCAAATGATGTGACGGTTATCATTATCCCCCTTATACATCACATGTTATCACATTACACATGACCACACTTATTATCACGTATTATTATTATATGATTATTATATCCCCTTTACCACTCACAAATCAGGCAACCTTGAATTCTGTTCTGATGCATATCTACATGTAGTATATTTGTGTCACACCACTTTAAAAGACAATTCCTGTTTCCACTTCAAGAATGTGCAAAATAAACAAAGCCTGATGATAATGCTAAAGGTGAAAACGGTGGTGACCGTGGCCTCACAGTTCACGGGGTGGGAAGGACACGTTTCCCAGTGCTCCATCAAGACACTGCTCAGTGAGTGATCCCGTGTATAGACTTGAGGGTGAGGCCTGACCTACTGGTAGCCCAGATGGACCAGCTCCGCAGCAGTGGGATCCAGACACCCATAAGCATTCTCCAGGCTGGGCAGCTCCAGCAGGTGGCAAGGGTTGGGGGAGGAGGAGAGAAATACGTTCCCTGGGCTGCCTGGCTGCTTTCTTGCCATGGCCCCGGGAGCCCTCGCTTCTCTTCTCGGATGAGGAGGGAGGAAGGTGTATTTCCTGTATGAGCTGATCCTCCTTCTGCCCCCCATTTCCCACTGGAGCAAAATGATGTTCGAGTTCCCAGTGTTTAACTCAAAACATAGAGTTTAAATCTGCAATAGGTTCAACCATGTGAAATGGCCAGTGACCTACAGAAATGGCAAGGTTCCACCTAATATAGATGGTATGTGGCCTACACGTTCCGAAGCTACGAGTCTGTGATAAAGTTGTTGACATGCTCTGAGAGGACACATGCTGCTGGTTCAGGGTTATCAGGTGACAAATGTTGTTTTCTGCAGGCTTCTGTTACCCCCACCCCTCCAGGGCCCTCAGGTAAGTGACTCACTGGCTGCAGAGGGTCTTATTTCTGTGAATGCTTTGCCTTCTTAGGGCTCTGGAGGAATCAGTTGAAATTAGGGCTTTGTCCCAAAGCATTAACTGGCTGTGTCTGTGATGTCCATTTATATTAGACACTAAATAGAAATTAATTTTTAGGAACCAAAAAATGTAAAGAAAATGGTTTAATGACTGAATCACAGTTGTAAGGCATGACAATGCTTTTATCAGTACAAAGCTATGCCCACCCCCCACTCCTATCCTCTGCAAAGAGTCTATTTAGATTTTCTTCTCACTTGGTGTGTCTGCTACCAAAGAGATGATTGACCAGTTTGTAGGGAGCACAGCGTAGTTTCAGGGATTCAGAACCTGCATGGAGCACTCACTGGCTATATTTAAATGTCGTGGGCCCTTTGTTCCTTTTTGTTGGAATTTTGCTTGTTCTGGATTCCAGTGGAATATTCCTTGTCTGAATTGACTTACTGTGTTAGGCCCATTGGAGACCCCTTCCTGTCACTGCATAGATGATGTAGTTCTGGGTTTTCATCCAGATCACCAGAACTGATTCTGATTTCCCACCCTGCTCTGTGCTCCCTGTGGTGGACTCGCTCCCTGAAGTTCACTTGGGCATCTAGACACGGGTGACGTGGGCATTCCTGCGCTAGGAACGTGCACAACAGGAGGTCTCCCTTTCTACCCTCACTCCCACCCCACAAGCTACTCATTCCTCTTTTTCTCCTGAAGCCATAGCACCAATTCGGCGATGCAAAGAAGCTGTGAGAAGGAGTTCTGGTGTGAAGAGAAAGAATAATCTGGAAATGTAATGCTCTTCTTCCCTCCTGTGTCTAAGTGGAAAATGCGAGAGGAAATTTTTAGTATGAGCAGCGGTTGCTAGATCATTGTGACTAAAACAAACAGGCTGTTTAGTGGGCTCTGTTTCAAATACAACAGTCTTGTGACTCCTGTCTCTCTGTGTGCCAGAGGGTGTTTGAAATGTTAAATGCCAAAGGGCAGCTCTGGGAAAAATAGCGGGCGGAAGGGAGAGGTCTCCTGCCGGTCCGTGGTGAGGGTCCCTGCTGGCTCCGGACCTACACGGAGGACAGGCCAGTGTGCCCGGCGTGCACGCGCCTGTTTCTGCGGGACCTCGAGTTTCTCCTGATGGCTCTCCCTGAGCTGCTGCTGGGCTGGTTGAGGTTAAACCTTTACTGTTCTTCTTTTTAAAAGTACTTTCCAACCTCCTTGTTTTTCTTCTCTTTCTCTGTCTGTTCTGTCCAGAACCAAACTGTCTTACTAACTGCCCCCTGGGGACTCTAGCCCTGCCTGCCTCACGCCGTAAGTGCTTTCTTCCTTCTTTCCAAGCTGTCTGGAGAGATCGTTTGTGTCATCAGGGTTGGCACCTGACACTCAGGAATAAGGCCAAATCATCCAGGTAGATGTGCTCCGTAGAGGCAGACACCCATGCTGGCCGGGGTCCACCTGCAGGGACAGGTTGGCAGGCTGGACCTTCCCTTTTGTCTCACCTGAGTGTGGACCGCTCAGTGCAAAGGGCTCTTATGTTGTAGAGACACTGCTGAGATTCCGCTCTCCTGGGCAGTGTGCAGCCAGGATGCTTTCAGAGGATTAGAGGGATGTTGGCTGGAGAGGGGAGTGTCTCCTGCACGGAGGCCTAGCCTGGGGGTCTCTGAGCCCAGCGTTTCCCAGTTGGCCTGCACCTGCTCACGGGTGTGCTGAGGGCACGTGTGCGCTGCCGTCTGCTGCAGTGAGGTGTGACCATAACGGACAGGCTTCTCTCCTTTTCTCAATCACCACACCAGAAGGAGTAAACCCAAATGTGTCTTGTCCTCCCAGGCCATCACCAGGGGTGTGACATAGTAAGTGCTCAATAAACATTTGTTAATTGAATAAACAACAAAGCTATCCCTGCTCCAAAAAATATTCTCGCAGAATTGCCTTCAGAGCCTGAATGGAGGCGCAGGAGAAAATACCCACTTTGTTTTTGATCAAGGATACAGTCACCCACCCACTCATCCACTGGCCTTAACTCCAAGGGCTAAATGCAAAGTACAGTGGGCTCTCAAAGGCTCCAGTGGTGCTTGCTCCCAGGATAAGAGGCCCACATCACCCACTATCTCGGGAAAGGACAGCGTTGTTTGCTTATATGTGCTGGTGTATTACTAAAGAAAAAGTTCATTCCCTTGAACTGGTGGTCGTACGACATTTCTTCCTGTTGGAGTTCACGAATAGATGCCAGTGAAGAGGTGGCACAAAACTGTCTAATGAAAAACCCATTCTGGTTCAGCGTCATCCAGGTGGAACCAGGCTGCGGTGGCGTCGAGAAAACCTAGAGCAGCAACCTTACCAACACATGACATCCACCGCACATACAACACACTCATACACAGCACAAACAATACACACATGTGCAGCACACACATGCACACACACAACTCTTATACTACCAGGAGCAGAAACACAAAAAGACACAAAACAGGAGCAGATTTCCCAGCCCGTGGGTCCCCTCGAGCTGGGCTGAGATGAGGTGAGGACAGCTCACCCCAGGTTAGTTAGTTTGCATTTCAGCTATTTCAGTGCTGACATGTTTTCACAGGTGAGCTGTTGCTGCTTGTCATGGTTCCCATTAGTGTAAGTGCTTTGCTGATCAAGGCTCCCCCTTGCCATAAAGTGCCAGCCACAAAGGAGGCAGGGAACCTTAAGAAGTAGTCTCCAGGGCTAATGCTCCTTTTCTGCTGACCCCCAGGGAGGCGGGGAAACCACCCCACTCCGTCATTCTTCCCGAAGCGCTGCGTCTGTGCGCGCTCCAGCGTGTTCCGCCTGCCATCTTCTCCCTCCCTCGTCATGTTGCCCATCAACACAGTCACTGTCTCTTCCCGCCTTTGTCTCTCTGCTACGCTGACGACACATTCCTCCTTCTGGTCTTGCAGCTGCTTGTCACGTCTCTTTAAATCCTCCAACTTGCTTCCTGACACTCAGAGGGCTTTGTTCCGTGTCATTCCTCATTGTGTGGTTTACCATCTCACCCTTTCATTGTTGGCTATCATTTGGGCAGACGGGCTCCACCCTGTAGAACTCACTGTTTCCCCATGCCACAGCCTGTCACGTTTGTGTGTGCCAGCAAATTCCAACTTTGGGCGTCCTTGTTTCCTTCTGTGCAGACTCAGGACAAGTAGCTCAGCCTTCTGTAAAACCAAAACAGTAGCAGTGGCCCTTGAGTAAGTGTTAGAGGTGACTTGCACCACGGTTGAGTGTGTCTTGCATGGTCTGCTCTTAGAAGGTGTGGGATGCCTGCGCCACAAAAGCACAAGTGCACTTGCACTCCACTTTTTAAAATGCTGCTGCAAGGAAGAGTCATTAAACAAGAGGAGACCTAAATTAAAATTCCTGCCTGCAGCCTTTGTTCCTTGTTGTGGGAGTTTGTTTAACCACTGCCAGTCAATTTAAAATAAACAGTAGCAGAGTTTGTTTTAAGGTGAGTCGCGTTGCTAATACAGCTGGATGAAATCATGGGTCTCTTCATGGGCCCCCACCACACCAAGGCACAGGGAGGCTGGCCTCCTAGGACCGGTCATTGTAGCTAAATAGATCTTTCAAGAGGGCCAAGGTGGTGGGGTACGCTGGGAGTATGACACGTGGCCTGTGCTCCAGCCCAAGTCTGAGGGTGTCTGTCAACACACCATCTCATGGCATTGCCATCTTTTCATTATAATTTGATATCTTCCCATTACCATCGTCACTGATTATTCAGGGTGAACTCTTTACATCATTTTAAGTTATTCTCCATGACCAAAATATAAATTAACGTTCAGAAGTTGCCCCTGGTCTATTATATTTAACTTGAGTCTGTTGAGAAGTGTGTGTGGGGGAGATCACCCCCTGGAGGAACTGTCCATCTGAGTAACCCTGTCTTTCTCTTTCTCGGCTCTGAAGGAACTACCTTGTTCCGCACTAGCTCCATCCCTAGAACCCTGCTTCTCCAGGCCCGAGAGACCAGCAAACCGGCGCCCTCCATCCCGCTGGGCCCCACATTCCCCCATGGCCTGCCCGGCTCAGTCACCGGGAGACCTGACCTCCGTGGAGGAGCTCGGTGACGAGGAGGCACCCGGGGAGAAGCTCCACCTGTGACGTGATGCAAGTTTGCATGGATTATCGTGGAATAATTCACTGTAATTTGCATAACCACACCATTGTCATCAACCAAACTCCACCCAAAAGGAGAGATCTAGTTTTCCCAAGGTCAAAGAATGTTTTTTTTTAAAAAAAAACAGCTGCTGAATGTTCAACCTGTGACCCTGAGATGTTTCTAGAATGAAACAGTAAATGTGCCTGTAATAACTTAATTTTTTTCATAGCTCAGAAAACTATTTTTGTCTCCATCTTTTTTACACAGTATATTAAACAAAAAAAGGTAAATAAGAGATGAATAAATTTAAAAAATAAAAGTTTTAAAGGTGTACGTTTTAAGAGATTATGAACACTCGCACTCTCAATACTGACTGCCTCTGTCAAATTTGCACTGTTACATATGGGTTTGGTTTATTTCCACGTTGAGTTTGACTGTTTTAAGTTAATTTTATTTTGTCAGTGTACTTATTTTTTTAAGAATTTTTGAAGTGCTTCAGACTGTCTGATTCAGTGAACTTTTTGTAGTGAAAAAGCCATGAAGCCAGTAGACAAGACAGATATCCTATATCCTGGAGGGGACTCGTGTCAGCATTTTTGAAAAGGTACCAAGTCCTCAGCTGGGCTGACCAAATGCGCTGTATAATCCACATGCTCTACTTGACCCGCACGTCTTCAGGTTCGAAGCACTTGGTGCATGTACATCCTGCTGCTGTGGTCTCACCATCGCCTACGTGTGAGTCGTCTGTCACACTGTAATACGTTGTGAATTCCCTCGTACTGTACTTTTATTGTCCTCTTGCATTGATGATACAACAGCAACTGCATTTTTAAATTATTGTTAAAAGATTAACTGGCAATATACAGTGTTTACTCAAAATTTTCTTGTTTAAGGAAAAACACTACAAAAAGTCATGAAGATACCAAATGGAAACAAGGGATGGTGCCTCGGAGTCTGTATGAGACGATGATGAAGTAGAAATAAAGCCTTTACAAGATGGCAGCCTGTCCTGGATCTCATGTTTCACATGCCCTCCATCTTTTCCTAAGGAGTCAAGTGGAAAGTTTTCCATAGCCAGGGGAACCAGGGAAAGAGGGGATCATGTAAAGAGGCAACAGCTGCTGACTTACCCAACTGGGAACGCACTGCGCGTGCGGGATGGCGTTGCAGGGCTGCTGTGCTTGTAAGAGCGTCCTGGGATAGATAAAAGAGGCGACTCCATTCTTGTTGGAAAAGCCAACACGGGTGGACATGGGGCTGTGAGGAAACTGGTTATCCACAGGTCAAAATGTGCCTGGCTCTCCCCCTTCCCCTTCTTGGGAAAGCGAGAGTGGCCAGTACCTCCAGAACAGGCATCTCCATCCCTGATGGTGAGGTGTGGCCCCGCCTGTGGGCACTTGGTAGAGGAGGAGTTCAAGGGGAAGCGGAGCTGCCACGAGAGCACGAGAAGAGCGGCGCAGGCGGAGCTTCTAGCTCTGTGTTGCCCCAACTTACAGCTTCCTTCTTATCGAGACAGGTAATGACGTAAGTTCTCTTCCCAGCATTGCCACCGTCGCACCTGTAAACTAAATACTTTCCAAAAAGTGGAAAACAACAACTGTTGGCGAGGATATGGAGCACTGTTGGTGGGAATGTAGAACGGTGCAGCCGCTATGGAAACTGTGACAGTTCCTTAAAAAGTTAAACAGAATTATCATATGATCCAGCAATTCTACTTCTGGGTATAGGTCTGGAGGAATTGAAAGCTGGGACTTGAACAGATATTTGTACACCCATTTTCACAGCAGCATTATTCACCACAGCCAAAATGTGGCAACAACCCTAGTGAAGGGATAAACAAAATGTGCTATGTACATACAGTGGAATACTATTCAGCTTTAACAAGGGAAGAGAATTCTGACACATTGTACAACATGGATTATTCTTGAGGACATTATGCTAAGTGAAATGAGCCAGTCACAAAAATAACAAATATTGTATGATTCCACTTATACGAGGTACCTAGAGTAGTCAAATTCATAGAGACAGAAAGTGGTTACCAGGGGTTGGGGAGAGGAAAAAATTGGGAGTTAGTGTTTAATGGGGACAGAGTTTCTGTTTGGGTTGATGGAAAAGTTCTGGAAACAGATAGTGATGATGGTGGCACAACAATATGAATGTATGTAATGCCACAGAACTCTACATACATTTAAAAATGATTAAAATGGTGAACGTTATGCATATTTTACCTCAATAACAATTTTGTGTGTGTGTGAGGAAGATTAGCCCTGAGTTAACATCTGTTGCCAATCCTCCTCTTTTTGCTGAGGAAGACTGGCCCTGGGCTAACATCCGTGCCCATCTTCCTCTACTTTGTATGGGACGCCGCCAAAACATGGCTGGACGCGCGATGCGTTGGTGCGCGCCCGGGATCTGAACCTGCGAACCCTGGGCCGCCAAAGCGGAGCACATGCACTTAACCGTTATGCCACCGAGCTGGCCCCCCAATAACAATTTTTTAATTCAAAAAATATTCTGCTTAACCACCCTAGACATAGCTGTAAATAAACTATCAGCAAGTCAGCAGATACTTCTTTTGTGCCTACCCTGTGCCCACAGTAAATGCTGGGAGGGGCATTAGCATTCTTTCAGTTAGAAGCAGCCAGCTAGCAGCAAGAAGGGAAGTAGTTGGCCCTCATCCCTGGAAAAGCGCTGGCATCTAGCGTGGTTACAATCCAGAGCCTCCAACAAGGCTGTCAGGACCCTGCTCTGCTCTCCTCTGGCTTTATTCTCAGACAAGCATCCCAAGAGTTGGCAACAGTGGTCCCCAGCAGCGTCTATTAGTTTAGCAACTCCTAGAGGAAAAAGGTGTCTTACCAGTAGCTGCAGCAAAAGCCCCAGGACGGTGAATCTCATGGGTCTGCTTTAATTCACCTCTCGCTCAGAACCAATCACTGACAGACTGACCAGCAGAGGAAAACCAGCCAGCAGTTGGAATAGAGGGAAAGGGGCCTGGAAGGCAGTGAAGGCTGTGTGCGACTGGGGGCACCCTAGAATTACAAGGAGAGGTTTCTGTCAGCAGAGAACTTGCCATCTGGACAGGGGAGATAAATTTTCCAGGCACAAAGACAATGGAATGCAAATATGATGTGGTTTAAATTCTAAGTAAAGTGGGACTTGAGTTGGCCCTCGAAGGAAGAGCAGGATTTAAATGTGAAGGAGGGAGAGGTGGTTGGGTAGGGGTACAGGAGGAGCAGGGTGTGAGGAGGTGGTAATAAATACATCTCACCAGGGCGGTGACACGGCAGCTGGGCCGCCAGCAGAGCCCGCAGTGAGCAAGGCCACGTCATGGGCGTCAGGGCCGTGAAAGCCAGTTTGGAACTTCTCTGACCATCCCATTTTCTAATGGTTGGGCATTTGTGTTCTTGAGTCCATTTACTGTGGAACCACTCCAGCTTTTGCAAAGGCAAGACAGTAGGATGAAATCATTTCTACATTCCTGTCCAAAGGATGCCGAGGCAGCTATGTGAGTCACGCCGGGCTCCAAGAGGCGGCAGCTGCCTGAGAGGACGGCCCCGGGAAGTGTCTGTTTCTGTCTCCAGGAGCTGTCGTCGCTAATGTGCCATTTGCTTTCATGTCCTAAAGAAAGAGGCAGAAGCAGATTCCTCAAACAGAGCCAACAGCCCTGCCCGAGGGCCGCCCTGCCCCCTGGGCCACCCTGCCCCCTGGTCACAGCCAGCACCAGCCGCCCTCGGGCGGTGGCTGCATATTGTACCCTCCTTTCTTCTCCAGATGAGAGGGTAGCGTGTCCCGTTAAGGTTTTCGGTATTATCTCTGCATATCATAGTTCTTATTTAGTACGTTTGTGTCTCACTCTTTGCTTATCAAGCTTGCCAGAGTTATGTATATTTATTTTGTTCAAAAAGTAACAGAGTACAACTATTATTTTCTATTTCCTACTTCATTGATTTTTTTTAAAAAAATGTGGCAAAATCCACGTAACATAAAACCATTTTAACCATTTTAAAGTGTGCAATTCAGTGGCTTTTAGTACATTCCCAGTGTTGTGCAGTCATCACCACAGTCTAGTCCCAGAACATTTTCATCACCCTAAAAGGAAGTACACGTCAGGCAGCCACTCTCCCCGCCCCTGGCACCACAAATCTGTTTTCTGTCTCTGTGGATTCGCCTATCCAGGATATTTCATATAAATGGAATCACACAATATGTGGCCTTTTGTGACGGGCTTCTTTCACTTGGCACGGTGTTTTCGAGGTTCATCCATGTTGTAGTGTGTGTCAGCACTGCATTCCTTTTATGGGTGAATAATATTCCATTGTGTGGAGGTACTACGTCTTGTTTATCCATTCATCAGTTGATGGCAATGTGTCTATTTTTAAAACAGAAGAAAATGTGTTGGTTACCTTAAACAACCTTGAGCATTCTCCAAAGGGAGGCAATTCACAACGCACAATTAGGACACTCATCAGTCAGTTTACGTAACTGAGGCACTCTGGCGTGTTTAACTCTTACACACAGCAGTTTCACGAGGCCACCGGTACATATCATACTTGCCGTGTTTTTCTTTGATTTGCATTTAGTGCTTTCAGCATCGTTCTTTGAATGCAAAGTGCATTGGAAACCAGTACAGCAAGAAATCAGGCTGAGTCAAAAGCAAGTTAGCTGTTAGAATGAATTTGATGACATTGGGTCTTTAATACACTGTGGGTGACTAGAATCAGTGTGGCACTGAGAGTGGAAAAATCTGGATTTGAATCCTGGTTTGAACACTTAAAGTAATACAACCTTGGGTCATCGCTTTAAGACTTATTTGAAAAATAGCAACAATAATACCTATTTCCCAGGTTTGCAAGGATTAAGGTTTACTGTGTACCTACTGTGTACAAAATGCTAAGAGTTGTGAACACCAGAGATGAACAGAAAAGATGAGCTCCCTGCTTTCACAGAGCTTATAATGTAGTGATGAGAAACATGTAGTAAACAGGTGTAAGTGGATGGAGAGTAACTTAAAGGCTTCCCTGAGAAGAGGCCATTTGCACTGAGGCCTGGACAAGAAGCAGCTGTCAGCTGGGCAGAGGGAATAGCTGGTGCAAAGTTGGGAGGAGGAGGTGGGCATGAGCCTGGTGTGTTCCAGGAAGCGGAAGAGGGCCATTGTGGCCTGAGCATGGGGGAGTAGGGTAGGGGGAGAGAACTGGGAGCTTGGGAGAGGCCCCCTGGAAAGAGTTTGAATTTTATGCTAGATGGGAAAAAATTCCATGGAAAGATATTAAGCAAGGGAGTTACTCTTTAGAAGACTACTGTGCTGTAAGGATATGCAGGGGCAAGACTGGAAGGCTTCCCAACGGAAGACTCTTGTGCTGATGGAGAGAAGCCTTGCTGGTGGCTTGGACAGTTTGTCTGCTGCTGTTATTATTAGCATTGCCACCACCAGGCTTGCCACGTGCTGCTCGTCAAGAACTGGGCTTTAGAATCTGCTGCTGAGGATTCTGCAGACCTTGCTGCCAAACTCTCGAGTCTGTCCCACTTGTTCAGATAAAAGCTGAAGGAAGCCCTTCTTTATTCTTCTGCTGTCTCTCAGTCTGGGCCAGCAGGCTTGTCCATGGCCTTGGGCCAGGGAGAACCATCTCCCCTCTTACCCGCCTTGCTTCAGGGTGCAGAATCACAGAGCAAGGTTCTTATTTTGTGTGTGTGTGTGTGTGTGTGTGAGGAAGATCAGCCCTGACCTAACAGCTGCCAATCCTCCTCTTTTTGCTGAGGAAGACTGGCCCTGGGCTAATATCCGTGCCCATCTTCCTCCACTTTATGTGGGACGCCGCCACAGCACGGCTTGACAAGCGGTGCGTCGGTGCACACCCGGGATCCGAACCGCTGAACCCCAGGCTGCCACAGCGGAGCGCACGCACTTAACTGCTTGCACCACCGGGCCGGCCCCCAGAGCAAGGTTCTTATTTCGGTTTTGTTTTGTTTTTAAGGTCCGATCCTTCTGCAAAAGGAAGTTG